TGGACATTTGCAGTCATTTGGCCACCCAGCGTCAATTCGTCCTATTCTCAGTAAGTCTTTGAATTTTGTCTTAGCATTGGTCCCTTCCCCCACTCTGAGTCCCTATGGTCCAGTGGAACAAGCTCCAGCCCTGGCTCCTGGGGGGTGGGGTGGGGGTGGGAACCAGGGGTGTAATCCTGCCGTATTTCTCTAGGTGAGTGACTGGTTCAGGAAGGAGCATTGAGACCAATTTGGGATTGTTGTTGAGCCTCTGGGGAAGCAGTCTCTTCGTTCTTTCCCACTGGACTTGAACCCGAGAAGATGCTGGGCTGAAGCAGGCTGCAGGCATCAGCCACCATGTGGATCCTGCACATCAAGTCAGCACAGGTGGGAGAGCAGAGTTGTCTCTTTAATAATCTATTTCAAAAGTATTTCGGCAGGAAGAGTGCACTGTACACATGCATGTAGATTATTTTCTAGGTCCATCCTAGGGCTTACTAGCTGGCATTTGAAGTACCCTCCTCAGAAATCCACCCTCCAGAGGAGATTGTTGAAGCCCTTTATATAATTCAGCACTGAAATGAGTAATGTGGAAAAGAAAGGGGGTGGCTGACAAGTCCATGCTCTGCTTGCTTTCCTTTGTTTAAGCAGAACACAGGGGTCCCGCAAGCCCGACGGCCCAGTCCTGGGGACCAGCACTCTTGGGGCCTGCTCTACACTCTTTTCAGTCCTGCATGCCCCTGTCTCAAAGAACAACATCATGGGCTGCCCTGAGAAAATCTTTCATGCAAAGTGCTCATTGCAGGACCTGAAGACAGAGGGGGTCATTGCAGAGCTTATAAGAATAGGTTCCCCGAGTGTGTGTGTGTGTGTGTGTGTGTGTCCGCTGAGTACATTTTAATACTTGTGTCAGGTTTTGGTCCAAGATTTGCTGTCATAGCTATAGACTCCCTGACAGTGAGGTGAGGGAGGACGGCTTGGAGTCCCATTTATGTTTAAGAGCTGGCGGTGCTCGTATTTATGTAAGATCTCACACTTGTGGAATGACCAAATTGTCTTCAACAACAGAGCTGAGCTGCAAGCTGGAGAAGAACCAAGTTCTGATGACGTTTGTTAAGCCCTGAATTCAACTGTGGCCCCTGGACTTTTTCAGTTATGGGGACAGTGCATCATTTATTTATTTATTTTTTTTGCTTAGGCCATTTGTTTTTAAAACATCTGTCAAAGAAAGACATAACTAGCCAGCTCTTCCTTAATACTACATATTGTAAGGATGTGACAATGTGAAAAAACAAAGTAGCACTGGAACCTGTAGTCTTTCATTCCTGTAAAAACAGCAACGGAACACACGTGTAACAATTTAATTCACTTTACTTTATTCTGGGATGTATATTACAGATAACACAACTCACAAACATATCAGTGGATATTGAAAGCTAAGGCCATTCTGTGAGTTATTTTTAAAACTTAGGTGTTTTGCACATAATGATCTTTTAAAAAATGAATTACCAAAACCAAGATTCTCTTCCAAAATAAAAATGTAAGATAAGTACAAGACAATTTTAGGGCCATATCTAATCTGAAGCTCACCGTGTGGCAAAGCCATTTTCGTTTTCTACCTAACAGCCCAAAGGCAGCCACTACCCCAGCATCAGGCTCTCTTCTCCACACCTTCTAACAGAGTAGTGTTTACCAACCACAGTAACCAGTGCTCAGAGACAATTTCCCTCCCAGTGACTAGCAAAAACAGGCTTTACCTAAGAAACACATTGCAGAATTCTTGGAACAAGAAAAAGAAAGGGATCTGTAACGAAGGCACTGAAAGCACATTATTTGTATAAAGAAATGTAAACAATTTAATAGCAACAGCCTCCCTTCATTAGAGTCTTCATTGTAAAAGTGCACAGGGGCACCGTGGTCAGGGCCAGAGTTTGAAGTCCGGTGAAATGGGAATGTCTTTCTTTCTGTGGAATTCAGTCTTGGAAACCAACATATAATTTTTGACATGGTGCTGTTGAAGTAACTAATTTAAAAGTGACTCAAGTGGAAGCTGTTATTTCTAATATGCATTTTAACAGCATAACTAATAAGGATTTTATTGGGAGTCAGATTATGGGCTCTAACATTTATATTCATATTTTTAGTCTTTTACTATGCTCTTCCAAAGAATTACATGTTACCTAATCAGTGCCCCTGCTTGTAGGTTCATAATTTAGGCGCAGGAGTGCATGTCAGAAATGAACCACACTCACTTTATTTAAAACCTTTCAGAATGATACACTTAACAGTTGGACATACAGCACTGTACACATTTCAGAGTCTTCTGAATTTACCTTCAAATGACTGAACAGGCATTAGCAGAAACTGTGTCTAGCCATAGCAGGACAAGCTGCTTTGGGTGCAGAGTTCTGAAGTGGGAAGGTGTGGAAGGGATAATTCCTGAGGCCAATCACAACTATAGAAGCAAAATTAATTTTTACTTGACTTTTTAATATCAATTTTAAATAGTTCTGAGTTCCAAATCATTAACTGTACAATTTCTTTCTTTCTTTTTTTTTTTAATAAAAGAAGAAAAAGGCTTTAACACAGACAAATGTGAAGGGAACCACAAATAATTACAATTTTTAAAAAAGCCATATTACAAAAACACACAAAAACAGACACTTCTTCTTAGAGTTATTTCTAATTCTTAAAGCAAGTACAAAGTCTATATCCCCCAGTTTTAGCACTTTATAACTATGAATTTTGGGTAGGTAAAATAAAGTTTGTATTTTACCTTAAACATGTTTTCTATGATCAAAAGAAAAAATTTTTAAAAGGAAAAAAAGATTTTCCCTTTTTTCCACAGGTTTCGGAGTTGAAGAGGACACGCAATTCAAAGGAAGTTATGCTTTGAACAATGAGCCATGTAAGTTTGTAGGCGTAGAAAGCACAGCTTTTCTCTTACCTGACAGATGCAATCCTAATTGTTAAACTATTTCTGTGGTGTTTCCAAATATAACCAAAGGAAGTCTTAGAAAAACTTAAATTGGAAACTTTTTTTATTAAGGAAAGAAAATAAAGTTTAAAAAAACAAACAAACAAACAAACAAACAGAGAACAAAAAACACCACCTTGAAAACCAGGGTGTTAAACAGCTGGGTTTGGAGCAGATGCACCGAATAACAAATTAGTAGCTCCCAGCAGGATTAAAAACATGCTTCGAGGGAACAATTAAATATGCTGGTGTGTTTCAGAAGAGGCACTAGTTCATACTCTTCCCATCAACATTTTGTGTCAACGGTGTTCTGCCTCAACCAGTGTTTTCTCAAAGAATCTGCTTGGTGAGCTCAGCTCACGATGTGTTTACCTTTCATGGCAATGTACGATTCAATTATTGGGTAAAAGTCACTGTTAAGCAAAAATGAGATGTCATTAAAGAGAAGGCATTCATGCCCAAAGAGTACATAATGTAATAAGTAGCTTTTGAGGCTGTTTTAATGCAGGAGTAAAACCCACAGATTTGCTAACAGCTAAAGACTTTTAATTGCCTCATATTTTCTGCAGCTCTGACCAGCATCCCTATGACTGATAAAAAAAGGAGGGCCAGCTTCCACAGCATGGAAATGATGCCACGCTGCTTTGCCGCAGAAGAAGATTAGAGAGAGCCATTGGTTTACTAAATTTTCCACATGAGAGGAATATTTAGGTGAATAATTCGTCAAAAGTGGGTTTAAATATTATTATTAAAAGAGGAAGCCTGGGACTAAAGAGAAAGAGAGATTCCTTGCCATTATTAAAAAAGATTCATTTTTGTGTTATTTTGATTTTAAGAGTAAAATGTGTCAAGGCTACAAGGGTTAAAAATTTAGAATAAACCATTACTGCCCTGTCTGCAAGCATTTTTGTGTTCTTTTAACGGCAGAAGTTAGGTACCCATGCACATGTAGAAAACACAATAGCCATCTTTTTTTGGTAGATTTTTTTTTTTTTTAAAGATGACTGGTAAGGGGATCTTAGCCCTTGACTTGGTGTTGTGAGCACCACGCTCTCCCAAGTGAGCTAAGCAGACATCCCCATATAGGGATCTGAACCCACGGCCTTGGTGTTATCAGCACCACACTTTCCCAAGTGAGCCACGGGCCGGCCCTTGGTAGATTTTAAAGAAATATTTCTGACTGCAATAACAGAATGTTCCTCTAAATGTTCCTTTAAAAAAGTATGTGATTTAATGTATACCATTTTCACGCAGAAAAAGCTACACCTGCCAACAAGTTGTAAGGAAACCAGCACTAAGTATTCAAGATTGAGTATAAGTGAGCAACTTAAACTGTATTAATTCCTATCTTTTCAAATTCAAACTAAGGTTTCAAAGTGGAGAGCCTGTGGTTGCTCCCTGAGACACATCCAGGTTTTATCTTCCACAAGAGAAAAGGGCACAGGTGGTCTTCTGCTGTCTTGGTCTGCATAAGATTTTATGAATGATGAAGGGCTTCCTCTCAAAATGTTTGATCAGTTTAAGGACAAGTGAGTTCTGGTTTCTGATTTCAAGGAAGGATGACATGAGTTTGATTGGCATGGTAGGGAGCCTGGGCCTCACCTGCTTGGGCACCTGGAGGAAGGACCTTGATGAGGAGACCTGGGCAGTCAAGGGTTAGCACATGACCTTGGCCAGTGCTCACAAGCTCCAGATTTCCCTCTGGTCTGGGGAGTCTGTTAAGAAACAGGATTGGGCCTGTAAGAAAAGCCTGAGTGTACCTCATCTCTTAACAGCCTGATGATTGTTTAATAATACTCTGGCCCAAGTTATTTCACAGCGATCACTCCCTGCTACATACACAGTATCGAAATTACATTCAGAGATTTAAAAAAAAAATGTGTAGCAATATTTTCCCCACAAAATTAAGTGCAAAATATCTTTAACAAATAATGATGGGAGTAGAAATATTTGACAAAGTCATGCGAAAATGCATCTCAGTTTACAAAGGTTTAGAACATTTCTAAAATATCCCGCAGGTTTTTACACTGTGAACCTTATAATCTTACTCATTTTTCTTTGAATTTAAATGTGGCTGTTTGTGTAAAAAACGGTAACATGCAACTTCGATGATTTCCAGTCCACCAAATATTCTCTCTTGCAGCACAAAGATTACAATGGTGATTATAAAATACCACTGAACAAGACTATACAAATATATGAGCAGGCACATTGCAGGGCTGAACAGGGTCCAATACAGTATAGAGAGCAATTTGACCACAAGGACCCTGAGCTCAGACTTACAAGGTGGAATGACACTCTGTCCAGTAAAGTAAAAATTCTTCTCCCCTTGATAGAAGGAACGCAGCCTCTCTTCCTTCTCTTCCCATCGCTTATGGCACCACAGTTGAAGGTCCTCCTTGGATGTGGGGAGGGTGTCTATTGGATATCGGTGGACATGAAAATGGATTTCCTTGGGAAAGTTTCCGTAAAGGAGGTGCTTCTCTGTTTGAGGAATGTTGTGAGGATATGCCACCGTGATGTCATGGACAGCATCAAGGTTCTTTCCTAGGTTTTGAAAAGATAAAAATATAGACTGAGCAATGATCAATTTGGTGGGTAAAGCTGATTCACACTGCAAGGCAGAACCAAAAACATTAAAAAATCAGGACAGAGTGAACCACGATGAACAAACAAGGGATATAAATACTGGTGTTCCTGGGTACTTGGGTCAATATTTACCAGTCATTTCTAGTTGTGTTTTTTTTTTTTTTTCCTGCTTGCTAATTACCACAAAGACCTGAAGAAAGAAATTATCTTTGTTTGGAGAAAACAGTAACCTGCCATTCTACAACTAAATGGGCAAGCACATTCAGTCGGATTAGAGGTGGGAATTAAAGAGTAAAGGACTAGCTTTTACACCAACAGGATTCACTACTTTGATACCTCCTATAAATATACTCATTTCTCCAAATAAAAACACAAACTTTCTCACCTTGAACCCAATATTACCATGATACCTACTGGAAAGAAAAATTTAGAATCAGACTTAAGTGAGAAACACATGAAAACTTGCATATTATTTTTTATTTTTAAAAACACACCAACTTGAAGTCCAAGTAAGAGGCTGACCATCCACAGCAACTAAACTTGGGAGCTAAGTGTTTTCAGCAGTCATAAGCCAGACGCTGGAGATAGAGAGATGAGTAAAACATGGTCCCCAACCTCACTCCAGATGTTCACAACATAACTGAGGAGCCAGGCAGGCGTGATGTCCTAAAGAGACCATATGGGAATGCAACACAGAAGGGGCTAGGTAAAGGAGGGCAGGAGCTGGCTTGGCAGCTGGAGCCATGGCAGAGCAAACATCCCACAGACAGCACAGTGGGGATGAGGGCCCTAAAAGTGGCTGGAGGCATATGGTACAGGCCCTCATGTTGTCATACCTTAGAATGTGAACTCGTTTCTGTAGGTGGTAGAGAAGCATCTTAATGGTGGAGAACTGCTTAAGGATTTTAAACAGAGGGGAGCTGAATGTTTCACTTTAGCTAGGACTACCCTGGGGGCAGTGACAGGAATGGTTTGGAGAGGACCAGGGGCAAGGGCAGTAGGGAGAGTAACCTGACAGCTATTACAATGCAGCAGGCAAGAAAGGAAGAGGAGGGAGGGGCCAAAGGAAGAGACATGTCCAAAAACATTCCAAGGAAGAACTGACAGGAGGAGAGCAAGGAGGAGTGAATCCAGGTTTGTTTCTGGTTCAGGGTATTGAGATGGTGGAGCCTTTGAGGTTAGAAACATAGGTGGTGTTTTAGATCTGTCCATGGGGATCACTTAATCGAACCCACATGAGGCCCAGTGAAGTTTAGTATTCTGCACCAAGGCACACAGTGTGTTGATGAAAAGTCTCTGAATGTTGCTTTCTTCCATACTATGTTATCGTCAGTGAGAGACTTTTGGTAAGGACTTTGATTCTTTATAGAACTACAGTAGACCTTTGAACAACAGGTTAGCCAATATCCACTCATAACTTTTCCCACATCTTAAATAGTTAAGTAACTTTAAGTAGTTAAGTACTTAAGTAGCTGGCCCTGTGGAACCCATGCATATGAAAAGTCAGCCCTCTGTTTACTTGGTTCTGCATAAGTGCAGTTCAAACTGTGTAGTTCAAAGGTCACCTGTATCTGAAACAGACAAAACTAATCCGTGGTGGCAGAGATCAGAACAATGGTTGCCTACGGGGGTAGGGACTGACTGGAAGGAAGCATGAAGAAATTTTCTGGGTGACAGAAGTATTCTAGATTAAGGTGTGGATTACATGGTTCTTACATCTGTCGGAATCATCAAATCACACATTTAAGATGTATGCATTTAAATTTTGCCTCAACAGTACTTAAATTTTAAATTTTACCTCGGCAGTAATAATAATAAAGATATGAAGCAACTCCTCCACCATATCCCACCATGTTACTCTTTCCACTGAACCTATTAGGTTATGCTCACTTTTTAAAAATGATTCTTCAAATCTTCTGTAAATGTCTGTCCTTAAGCTTCACAGAGACTCAGAATGTGTTAACTCCAAAGCAAGAGAGGAGGAAATGGAAAAGGGCTTTTACAGTTGGAGGTACAGTTAGTTTCCTGTCTTAATTTTTAAACTTTATATTAGGTAAATAAAGGTCTTTCGACAACATAGAGCCACATGTAACTCTGTACTGCTAAGTTGAAGAGCCAAATTCTATGCAGGAAGAAGAGCTTGCTTCTCACATCACCATATCAAGACCTCTTGGCCTGAAATTTTTTTCCCCCTATGCCATAATGAAATATATGTAGAATACACAAAAATATAATTTTAGATTTCATATTAACATTTGCCTTTAAAAAATTAGAATATGTCTACTTTCCATAAATCTAACTACATATATTGGGATGTTTTAGATAAAGTAGCTTGTCACCTACAATGCACTTGTGTTAAAAGAAAATGCTAAGGCCGCTGATTTTTTGTACATTGTTTTTCATATTTAAAAAAAAAAAATTACCCAAGAGAATAAAAGCTGGCAATCATTCACTGTGCCACTTTGACACTGACATTTAATAGTACATGGCTAATTATAAAGCATGACAAATTGGCACTAGTCAGTACATTTTGAAGAACAGTCTTGAATAGACTGATTCAGATATATTAGGACTAAAAGTACCAATAAGACACTTTTCAGCTTCAGAATAAAAGGGCATACATGAACCACTTAAAACCAACTGGTAGTAATGCTCAAACAGTACCATATTCTTTGTCAGAGAAAATACTACTGTTTCTTACTAGAAACATTATTCATTTTCCTTCTGCATAAGTTGAATATTCATGGAACAAAAGGTGGAGTTAGATAGCTCCCAGTCCTGCCTCTTATCAGCTCTATGACCTTGGAACGTTCACTATAAGCCTTGTCTGTAAATGGAGATAACAGACCCTAACCTCATAGGTGAAGATAAATTGGGATAAGGACTGTAACGTGCCTGGCACATAGTATATGCTCGGATTCTTCTTGTTGATGTATTGTCGCTGTTATTCCTCTAGGTGGGAGGATCACCTTTCACACTTGAAGTGAGTTTAGGTGTACGCTACCTTTTACCTTCCTTCTTTCTCTAGATTTCCTTGTCCTTTGGGAGGGATACCGTGTCTGTTGCAGGGCATGCTGTGGTTTATTCTCCATAGTGTAGAGCTAATCATGGCAATCCCATTCCCCTTACCAGGGACTGATTCAGGAACAGGTTCACAACTCAGTTCAGAACAATGAGATAAGGGGGGAGTGTTCTGGGGCTTCAGGAGAAAGCGGCCTTGCTCTCAAGTACAGAATGAAGCTGACACCACAGAGGACAAGAATGGAGAAATGGGAGGGTACCTGGGACCTTGCTGAGATGACTGGGTGCCAAAATCTAACATTCACACATACCCTACTTCTCAACTTCTAGCTGTGTGTGCGCCACTACATTTCCTTACCTTTCAATCTGGTTCCAGTCAGGTCTTTTGCTATAAACAAACTATTCTACCTGATACAGTGACGTATCAACTGGCAGGAGTTAAACATCAACTACAACTTAAAACAAATTCTGGCATTTCTATTCTTGAGGAGGCTTTCTATTTCCTTTGAATGATCTGTTCACCTTTTACTGTTACCCCAGCAGCAAACAAATCTTTGATCTGTACATATGTGAACCCTACGGGAAAGATTTCTTCAATATCCAGTGATTTATACTTTATTTCAAAGTCCATTTTGGCTCACATGAGGACAAGTCCTTTTTAGTGTAACTCAATGCCATTCATCCTGAACAGCCAGTGCTGAGAAACAGACTTTCTCAAGTGAAGAGTCAGGGCTTGTGATGAATGCAGATATTTCTACATGTGGGCCTTCACGATTATTTGGAAAAACTGTGAAACTACTAGAAGAAAACATAGGGGAAATGCTACACGAAATGGGAGTGGGCTGCACTGTTTTGACTGAGACTACAAAGGTACTGGCAACTAAAGCAAAAATACACAAATAGGAACTAAAAAGCTTCTGCACAGCAAGGGACACTATCAACAAAGTGAAAAGAGAACCTACAGAATGGAAGAAAGTGTTTCCCACGACAAATCAGACAAGGGGCTAACAACCAGAATATATAAGGAACTCAAACAACTCAACAGCAAAAGACCAAATAACCCAATTAAAAAATGAGCAAAGGACCAGAACAGACATTTCTCAAAAGAAGACATACAAATGGCCAACAAGTACATACAAAAACGCTCAAAATCACTAATCATCAGGGAAATGCAATAAAACCACAATGAGATATCATCTCGCCCCAGTTAGAATGGCTATTATCAACAAGACAGAAAACAGCAAATGCTGGTGAGGATGCAGAGAAAAGGGAACCATCTTACATTGTTGGTGGGAATGTAAATTGGTACAGCCACTGTGGAAAACAGTATGGAGGTTCCTCAGAGAACCTAAAATAGACTACTATATGACCTGGCTATCCCACTATTGGGTATATACCCAAAGGAAATGAAATCAGTGTATCAAAAAGACACCTGCACTCCTATGTCCATCCCAACACTATTCACAATAGTCAAGAGATGGAATCAATCTAAATGTCCATCAATTGATGAATGAATAAAAAAACTGTGATATATATACACAATAGAATACTATTCAGCTATTAAAAAAATGAAATACTGTCAATTGCAGCAACATGTATGGAACTGGAGACCATCGTGTTAAGTGAAGTAAGCCAGGCACAGAAAGATAACTACTGCATGATCTCACTTATACATGGAATCTAAAAAAAAGTGGTTCTCATAGAAATAGAGTAGGATAATGGTTACCACAAGCAAAGAGGGGAGAGGAGTAGAGGGAAGGAGAAGTGGTAGACTAATGGGTACAGAACTATGTCATCTACTCTAAGTGAATCATTGTGCAGTCTATGCACATATTGAAACATATTATACCTCACAAAATGTACAAGTAAATGTTAAAAAATAAAAAAAGTGGAAGGCTGTTTTCTCTGGTTCACATTTAGAATTTTTATAGAAGTAATTTTATATTAACATTTTCACCATTATCACATTTTCATGTCATAGCTTATTTCTCTGAATTAACTTAAAAATCCTTTTTCTTTATTACAAAAGGTAATACAAGGTACCATAATTAAATGAAGAAAATGCAGGTAAGCCTACAGATGAAAAAAATTGGTAATAATAACACTGATTAAGCCTACAGATGAAAAAAATTGATAATAACACCACTAATTTCATTTTGGTATATATTTCATTTCTTTTTGGTTTCAAGGTATACGTGATACATATACAGACAAAACACACATGCAGATGGAGACAGATATATTGTTATAGACGAATTGTCCCCTAAATTCCTATGTTGGAGTCCTAACCCCCAATGTGACTATATTTGGAGTTACAGCCTTTAAAGAGGTTAAATGAGGTCAGGAGGGTGAGGATCTAATTCAACAGGACTGGTATCCTTGTAAGAAGAGAGAGACATGGGGGATTTTTGTGTATACAGAAAAAGCCATGTGAGGACACAGTGAGAAGGTGGCCATCTGCAAGCCATGGAGAGAGGCATCAGGAGGAACCAACCCTCCAACACCTTGATCTTGGTCTTCTTGCCTCTTGAACTCTGAGGAAATACATTTCTGTTGTTTAAGCCACTTGGTCTGTTATTTTGTTATGGCAGTTCTAGCAGACAAACGCAGATGAATAAACACACACACACACACGCCTTGAAAAACATCTATAGATGGGACCATATTATAAACATCGTTTTATTTTCATGCATCTTTCCATTAGTGCCATTAAAATTTTCTAAAACTTCATTTTATGGATGCAATATTTGATTATATAGGTATAAAAATTTTTTAAAATAAAGTCCTTTTTTTAGATATGTAAGTTGTTTCCATGTAACATTTAAATGGTTTTTTTTTAACTAATGATATTTTTGT